ATAGGAAATATTGACAACATCTAAAAGTGTTTGCAATCAACAAAACATGAAACATGAGATATGTGATTGATATTTATATAGAAATATGTTTTGGTTTTTATGGAAGAGTCCACCAAAAGAAAATTTGACTTAAACAGGTATTAATAATTAATAAAAATTAAATTGTATTACCGAAGGACGTGAGTTGGGGCATTCAGGGGTCATTCCGCCTCATAAAAAGTTAAAAAAATCACCTTGAATTTATTTACCAATTTCTGTTACATATTAAACATCACATTGGTTAATTGGGGCTATATTTCTTAGTAGTTTTTTTCAATGCACATGCATAGATGCCCTTCCATAGCAACAACATTGTGTTGCTATGCAGAAATAGCCAAACTTTGGTGTTTTTGGACAATCAACCATGCCGAAATGAAAGCCTCCGCATGTGACAAACAAAAATTCCTATCAATGAATGAACAGTGGTACAACAATGTTCAAGCTTGTCAAATATCTATTTGTTTGGTGCATGCGAAGGGTTTAAAATATTTCAAGAGGGTTTAATTAATTTGCTTCACAACGACCGATTTTTAACGTAATTAGCACACGAACAGACGATATTCAGCCACTTTAATTTGAAAAATGTGGATTTATACCTCTCTTTGTTATGCCATATCGCCTTTACCACGTCGTCAGATTAATTTGAAATTTTTCATTTTTGTACTTCGTATATTCGAGATTACAAATATAACAACAAACTTTAAATTCTTAATGAGGCCAGAAATAATCCTTGATGCCCCTAGTCCTTTAAGAGCATATATAAAGTGCCTAAAATAATTGTGTTTTAAAACCATCACTATTTGAGGATATCGACCGTACATATCTGTTTACAAAACGTAGGTCTAGTGTACATGTATTTTAATATTTAAAAACTGTAATGATCATGATAGATCTATGAAAATACATGTTTATTCAGAACCAGTAGAAACTCTCAACACTATCATACCAGGAAATCTAGATCTACAAACCTACGTCTTACAGGTCTTTAAATATAGAACTTCACTTTCACAGTTTTGTATGGGAGAAACTGCCAAAGTTGTAGCAGATGTGATAAATTACAGAAAAAGGCATTATGGGCCTGTATGGGCTCCCTTATTTTATCATTTTTTTTTTATTTTAAATTTTGTTACAGATTAAGCTGTGCATTATTCTACAAAACTTCTAAATGTATTGCAATAATAAAATTTAATTTTTGCTTTAAATTACTTTGAAAAATGCATATATATATATATTCAAGGCTTTATATAAATATGTGGGCCGTACAGATTTCCTTCCATTTCCAATAAAGCATTTGTTTTAAAATAGATAAACAAAAATAATCTGGGTTTTTTTTTTTAGATATTGTTTCTTTTTACTGTTCTCATATTCTTTGACACCCCCCCCCCCCCCAAAAAAAAAACAAAACACTCAGAGAAATATGGAGAAAAAAGTGAATTTTGACATTTTTCTTTAAAACCTCAAGTTTGCCAGATTCATGGCAGCAAATACCAATGAAAGAAAATAAACGTGTTATCATCTTAATTAAGAAACTATCCTTTGAAAATGACAAAATAAAACCACAATGATTTCACAGCCATGTTATATATATATATATAGTAACAAATTACTTATGTTATAATATAGTAACAAATTACTTATGTTATAATATAGTAACAAATTACTTATGTTATAATATAGTAACAAATTACTTAGGACTATTTATATACATATATATATCTCATCGACTTTAATTGACTGTGTTATGAGATCTGTGATAAATAAAACTTAGTTTAAATTAATTTCATGCTTGACAACATTTAATTCTGTTTATTAATTTTCAGGTGATAGGCAGCTAATATATTGTCATAGATATGCATCTTGAAGTTCTTTGAAATATTGCAATATATTTTTGACTATCAAAACATGTACCACAATATTAAATAACAATGGATTTGTATACAGTCTAGACCCATAAGAAATATGAAGTCCAAATTTTTTTATTGACTCCATGAAACAAATATTATTTAATATATGTATTTTTTGGAATGCTATATGCTAGTATAGGGAGTGTGAAATATTGATATACAGTACAGAGAAACAGTGTCGGTGTGCTCCGATTAAACTGTAACATACGTATGTATGTACATTTGACCTAATCTATGGGAAAGATATTCTTATCGCAATTCAAGTTCAAGGTTTATATAGATGTATATACAGTGAAATAGATCGCCTGTTGACACTACCTCCTGATGGATTTCATCACATGACTGCATACGAACTCGGTGAAATCGTAGAGTATCTGTTGTACACATGAGTAAGATGACACATCAATTTTAATTTTAGTACATATACCTATATCATACAAGTTAACTTTATTATAACACATGAACCACAAGTACACGTTTAAGATTAATGATCGAAGCATCAACATCTGGGATTCCGTGAAGTTGGTTTTTATTTAGTTTACATGTTTTAACTAGCTTAAAAGGCTAGCTGTCATCTGGATGACCTTCTGTTGATAGGACTCTACATACCTATACTAGAATTGCTATCCAACTCAGATTCCTTAACCTATTCACCCCTAATGTCATATTTGAACTAAAAGTTACAAAGTCAAAGACTGGACAAGTCCAATTTAAATATGTTTGGGAGAATGTCACAGTTAACCATTACATCGACAGGACGTGGGATCGACTTGGCTCATATATTTTTCTACATATTATAACATAACACAACCAGTTCAGTTCAATAGAGCAGGTCGGGAATTGCGGAAAAATATATACGCGATGCTCAACCTATTGCGGGTTATAATAGATACAGTAACTATAATGTGGGAACCCCCTGCAGAATTGGAGATTTTGTTTTATGCCCTCTACTCAGGAACATTTCTAAGGAACAAAAACAAATCTGATGCACCCATGGAAAACATTTGGTGATTTTTGTTTGTTTCTTTTTCCCGTCTATTTTCATTTTCTACTTTTATTTCTTAATGGATGGCCGGATGGCACAACGGATAGCCCACCAAGACAGCCGGGGTTTGATTCCCGGATCTGACAGGAAAAATATATCAGATGGAATATCCGAGCCAACAACAGTGCTTAATATAAGTTATATATATTACTTGTTTCATAATTGTTGAAAAATGAATAAAGTTTATATTTTCTTATTCAATTTTTGACAATTTATACCCTCCTTTAGGCCTTGGCTTAGGTTTTTAGCTTTCACCAAAGCAAGGAAAGATATGGGTTTTTAACCCTGAACAAAACAAAGTAAAAAAATGCTTATTATAATAATTTCTGTCCTTTTCTTATAAGGACTGTTTAGCCTATTGTCAATATAATGTGACCTGAAATGGATTGTCATATTGCCGTGCCTAGGTTATGACACTCCAGTGAAACGACACTTTAAAGATTCTATATATACAGTAACCTCCCTTAACTTAAGTTTTAATATAACACCAGCATATTTGGGCTAGTACACTTCCGTTGACCAGATAGATCAATAGGTTACAGTGATAGTATAGCAACCGGAAGTTGAAGGTTCGAGTCCAGGTCTAGTCCTGCCAAATGTTTGTTTTACACTCTAAACCTTCCTGTTCAATATGTTTTGTTTATATCACCTTTATTACTTCTCATAAAAGTCCTGCAAGATATGGTTTTCTCTCCAGAAATAATTTATCAAATATTACAAAAGTTATGCCAGGAAAAACTATTTATGGCAGTGGATCAGGTATCCTTAAGTTTATACCTGGAAAAATAATTTAACCATTTTCCTGGAGATGTCATCAGATATATAATTTTGTTTGGCCTACTTCCAATTTAAGCAATATATATATAAAGTAGCAGTGATTAAGCCAACACTAAATGTTAAGTGGTTCGTTTCCCACGTTGTTCCACAGATTTCATACAAACAATGGGCGGTAATTATCTGTTAAAACTATTTTCTGTCTTTTTCAGTCTAATTCAAGTATAAGCCTGCATGCATTCTTATTTTTTCTCTCTGTCTGCGGACAAAGCCACCCAAGTTTACCACAGGTAAAAACGTACATATCTGTAACCTGGCCCAGGCCATGGGGATGGGGGTAAAAACTGGGGTACATATTGGCAGAGGGGACTGCATGGTAAAGTTGCATACTCTCTTGCCCTCTACTTGCAGGCTATGACGTTGACCATCATGTACAATATAGATAATAATTCACAGAAATTTTAAATTATGTGATTCTGTTTCACTTAGTTGTATTTCTCAGGCTGAATATTTGGTTCTAATTCAGAAATGAAAAATACACATTTTAATTTTGATTAAATTCCAATTTGCATGACAATAATATCTGATTCATTCAGATTTGATTTTTAAAAATAAAAGATTTTCTATTTTGCATTGAATTTTAAAAAAAGTGCTTATATTCTATATTAAGCAATTTTGGTATATCCTTATTAGAAAATATAAATGGGAAGGTAGAAAAAGTAAAAACTGTCTATTTTATACAGTGCAATACATTAGATATTTACACAATTTCGCTAGGCCTATTCGATCTTGTCTCTTTTTAGACACAATACTGATAAAAACAGAGCAGATATTTTTGTGACATCAACACGCAATGTTCTTTATCACGGAACCATTTTCAGATATAAAAAGTAAAAGGCGTCTGACACGATACAGATCTATAAATACAGTATAGTACATGGCTTCCCCGAGTAACGTTACTTGTACAGTTGTAAGTAAGCGATGTAATACGGTCGGACACCGCCCCCTTATGTCGGCTTTTGACATAAACATTTCGTCTGATCCTCAACATTCAGCATAACAAAATACACGAAATTTATATAATTTTCTGTGATCACGCATCTGATGTGAGTAGTACAAAGGCAAATGCATTTGCATCGATACCTTTCAGTAATCAGCTGCTCAGAATCAGTGTGACGGTTACGCCATCTTTCACGTAATCACGCTCTCATTTTTTATCATCGATACATTTTACTCACCCTTTTTTCCGTTTTTCTTTTTGGGTTCAAAAAGGAGTCCATTGTTTTTGTTCGTACCATTTCTAAAGCGCCATTATTCGCACTGTCATGCTGTTTTGTCGGTAAATATTTCCTTGAACAAATACATGTATCTCGTTCACCGGCTCAAGTGACAGCCAGCGTAAACTTCACCTCTGACCTTTCGTATTTTGATTAGACTTGGGCCGCTTACGCATGTTATAAAATAAATCTGTACAACAATCCGCTGAGTAGTTAGTCGAATAAAGGCATGAGTCAACGTTACAGAAGTAAAAGTGTAGTATTTTGAAAACATTTTAATATAAACAAGATACCTTTTTGTGTTCAGTTGTAATCTTTAGTGCATAAGGGGCCCTGTTCCCTCTGACCCCAGACCTAAGAGCAGACGACATCAGACATGATTCAAGACAAGATTCTGTTTCACTTAGGTTCAGAAATGAAAAATACACAAGAAAAATGCATAAAAATGAAGAAGAAAACAAATGTAGACCATATACCCAAACTGTCTAAACAATAATAGAACACTGACCCTGTATTTATCAATGTTTATTTCATTTTCAATACTGAATATACTTACCTGAGGAAAACATATCATGTTCTGGCCCCCACGTTTTGCCACAAGGTCATATATCAGAGGACGAAGTCACTTCAAAATGCTGATTTTATCACTCATACAAAATATCGTCCCCTTTGATTTGTACGAATAATATCTTCATTAAAGTACTGCCAGGTTCCCAATTTTGCAAACATATTCATTCAGCTTATTTTTTTTCAAAGAGTTATTTCCCTTTAAGCAGGAAGAAATGAGCTGAATTATTGTAGTGATACTAAATTATTTTGCGAAGGGAATGTACATTATTGCTGTGTTCATTTATTATAACATTGCATAATAAACCCTATACTACAGTCGCTCGAAAAAAAGACTAGTATCTAGGTACGGTATTTTCAGCCTCTCGGTCGAGGCAAGGAAATGTGGACCAATTTCCAATTTCTTATTTTTAAAAGACTTAACTTCGTAGTAGTGGAAACCTTATTTATTTATAAATTATAGACACTTATGCGGCACCAAGAAACAAATGGCATACTGATATCTGAGAGAAGCTAAATATATTATCTGACAGACCAGAGCACGTGTAACTACATTATTTGACAGGAAATATTCACATATTACAAATACATACCCCAAATTGCTTAAATTATTTCCTCGGGCAAATTTACCAGAATATAAGTGCTCTTTTTAACACAATTTCCATAAATAATCAAATGTAATGTTAATGTTGAGTTTAGTTTAGTTTAAACATATTTTATTGCCAAGCAAATGTATTGGGCACAAGTTATCAAACTTATATTAAGCCCTTTCCTAGCAAATTACAAGCATATATTTACAATAGTACAACAAGATGGCAGAATTAATTTACATATATACACTATTTCATTTTTAAATGTTGAGTGCATTTACATATAAAGTTTAAACGTTTCACTTATTTCGTCAGTTAATTGCCATTGTCGTTTTTCCTTAGGCGGCAGTTTGAGATCGTTTTCTTTTGACTCTCGGGGTATAAAAGCAAAAAATAGGATATTCCGGGTGCCGGATTCCGGAAAGTTTATACGGCGATAGTTAATGTCTTTTCCTCTCTCATTTATAAACCGGAAGTTTGGACTTAAACATATTTTTATTTGCATCTATTGTACAAAAGGAATTGGCCATAACCGGAAGTTATGATCAACTGTCGTCGTCTAGAAAGAATGCAGTATTTTCGTACGCTCAAATGATTATCTTATGTTTTGAATATATTCTCATTTCATAATCAATGAGAAATGATTTGTCGTCAATATCACACAAAAAATGTATATATTTCTTCTCTCTTTTTTTTAACTTAAAACTAGCAGTGTGTCTTTAATTTTGCTATGACGTATATCACGGGTGCAGAGAATGTTTCCTCTTGATTAGTCGAGGATGTGACTGTGTAGAATTGACAGATAAAGAATATTCAAAGTATTACAAAACTCGTAGGATGAAGTCTATCTTTGTCTGGATTGTGTAGAATCAAGCTCATATGGTAGTGGGTGAGAATCGGTTCCTTCATCGGACAATTGTATGGAATTGGATTCTGATAACTTACGATGCTGTAAAACACGCCCACTCTATGAACACATTATAGTTTACGTTACAGTACTACAAATAGCACCAACTAAGTTCCAAATGGCTTAAATGATAAGGTTTGATGCATCAAATCCACTTTTAAGGGTTATCTCTGAACACTCACAATTGAAGTTGAAACATCGACAGTCAACGTCAACAAAGCAGTTGATAAACTGAGTAAGAAGCCAGAGAGAAGATTGCAGTCCATCTCTGATAGGATTAAAATTATTTCCTTACTCGTATCCCTTCAAGTTCTTTGATTGTTTACGTACAACTAAGAGAGGTCGAAGTCACCTGAGATTGAACCAGAAATGGTTAGATGAACAGTGGGAACAACATCACACCAGGTCGTCAAAAAGTTCCATAGTCCGAATTATTCTGACGTTTTATCGACTTTTTTCATATCGGTCTGTCGTCGGTTAATCGACGACAGACCGATATGAAAAAAGTCGATAAAACGTCAGAATAATTCGGACTAAAAGTTCCAATGATCAAGATATCGAAAAAAAATCATCCCTGATGCTGGGGAGTTCAACTGTACCGGGTACAAACCCGCGTAAACGTGAGTATACAGATGTTAGCGTCAACAGAGTAGAACGCATACTAAATACATGAAAACCAAAGATCGGTCTACGAACATCGTTACCACACTTTCATCCTATTTGTTGGTAGAACGATATTTCTGAAAAAATGTTTGGCAGATGTAATATACATAGAAAGTCTTGTGACCCAGTAAAAATCACAATAAGTCTGTGTTATCTTTGCTCCAGGAGGAACATTGAGAACATCTATGTTTTTAATGGTATATAAGATTAAACAAATACAGGTGTGTTGTCTTTATTCAAAGCTTCACACGTGAAAATGGAGACGTTTTCTCCCACCTTTGATTGAATTATCTCCCCTTTCACCTGTTCAATATTTCTCTTTCACCCCGTATGGTATGATTCTTATAATTACACCCGATTTTCATATAAAGTTTTACATTTCTGTAAGTATTCCCGCATACTTTTTAAATTGTGTTGAGCCTAAACAATTACATTGTCTGAAGCTTAACAAGAACTCCGTCGACGAAGCGCGGACTCTTACCACAACGACAAGGTATAAAACTTAATCTGTTCTTCTAGACACCATAGGAAATTCAACAATCTAAACAAGGGAGTACACTCCGTTGGTGTATACCTCCTTAGGGGGAAACAAATGCATCGCTTCAATGAATATCAAGTCGCTGGTCGAACAGGGGAGTTAACTCTGGTGGCGACCACACCACAAATACCACAGACACCATTTCCCATGAAAAATCAAATGCGCCGCTTCAACAATTTACAAGTCGCTGGTTGATCTTAAATATAGATATTTGTGAAAAAAGTCTATTACACTCCGCCCAATCAGGTTTTAGAGAAAACTTTTTTTTTGTCAAACTGCGCTAACTAAAATGCATTATACATTTGTGTATTGACTTTAGAAATGCTTTTGATCTTAATGCTCGTAAGATACTTATATATAGGCTAAGACTATTGAACATAGATTACAAATAATAATAAACCTCTTGAACACCAGCGTAGAACGATTTACTTTTTTTCTTGATTATAGAAAACTCTTTATTATAGAAAACAGTTTATAAAATCTCAACACCATCACTCTTTAAGTCAACACCAAAACTGGTGTTTCTCAAGGGTCTATTCTTGGGCCATTGCTGTAATTAATCTGTATAAATGATCGCCTCGCTACATTGATTAAATGGTCAACTGATATGTATGCAGATACAACATATTTATTCTTGAGGAGAAGTAGCGTTATAATTTGCACAATGATCTTAAAAGGTGTTTTAACAATGACATGCAATTAAGAAATGAAACATCAACTTACAAATCTAGAACCACCACACACGCTTTGCTAATGGTTCCAGCATTTGGTTTCAATACCTGACAAAAGGTATAGGGTATATATCTATTGATGAAAATCTTCACTGGACTAAACAGTATTTTCGAAAGTCCCAACTTCAGTTGCGCTCTTGAGAAGACTTTCAATATATTTCAAAAGGGTAAAAAACGTGTTTTTTTTTTTACAGTTTTTGATTACATAAAGACCTAATAATCCATGCACGGATGCTTATTAATGCAGAAGTACGTCTGTGACACAAAACAAAATCTGGTGCTTCCTAGACTATATTACAGGTTATCCTATAATTGATTGTGTGGTGATGGACAAATTACAAAATAAAATTGATGTTAATCAAAATAATTTCATTTTAACAATCTGTTTAAAATTCGGTTGTTAGTACGAAATCGCCGCTTTCATGTGTACTACTAGATGCAGCTTTATAAATTAGTATTTACAAATATTTGGTACAGATGATTATATGCTCACAATGATTCATACCCAGCTGGGAACCCTTGTGGAAAGAATTGGAGACCATTACAATATGCGATTTCTGAGATCGTGGTATACCATGAGCAGCTCCTCACTACCTACAGGAACTTGTTACCCTGTATCAGCCGTCAAGATCACTGCGGTCGGAGTCAGAATCTTTGTTGTGTGTCCCAAAATCTCGTACTGTGACCTACGGAAAAAGATGCTTTGGGAGGGTTTCGGCTACGTTGTGGAATAGCTTACCATCTGCTATTAGGAAGTCGAATACCCTGGCCAAGTTCAAGAAGGACATAAAAACTCACCTCTTCACGTCTGCATTTTAGGATCTTTGCAAAGACGTCATGTAAATACCACCCTTTTATTTGTTCAATTATGTGTACATTGCTTGTTAAATGTATGAAAGTGATTGCAAGCCTTTGTTGTTTGTTTTCACAATTATAACCATTGCTACTATCCATATGTTGTAAAGTGCCTTAGAGTAATTTTACAAATTATATAGGGCGCTATATAAATGCTGTATATTATTTTTTATTATTATCATTATTATCTACCCCAGTGGCGGATGTAGAGCAGCAAAGCAGACTGGCAGAAGTCACCCTCCTTTGTAGCCATATTGCATATTTCTTGTCAAATTAGTTTTTTTTTT